TTTTTTTAACACAAAATAACTACAACAATAATTAGTAGTCGAGATAGTGGCTCTTCTCAGTCACAAAGTCTCTCCATCGACAGAACAGGGTGATGCCGTTCTTCCAGATAGAAGAGGGGCATACACAATCCTTTCATCTACCATCTACTTGATTTTCCGACGATTGTTGAATTTTTCTTCTTTAAAGCAGGCCTATGTACTTCCGAAAATATGTACATAGTCATATAAGCTGCGGGGTGGTGATCATGTGGAGTCTGAGATAGCCAGTTTATACTAAAGCTTCCAGCGCCCCATCGACGTCCTCGCGTGTGTTGGTCGAACATTATCCATCACAATCAAAGATTCACTTGTAGTCGGTGAGAAATGGGAGCTTGAAACACCATCTCTGTCAGTTGTTCACAGAATACACTTGCGGTCACCGCAGTACACCCTAGTAAATTCCATAGCAAAAAACAGCTTGAGCAGAAGAAGCATGAGCTCATGTACTTCATGGCGTGAGCGCTACGCTTTGGAGCGGGTTGTAACTTTACTTTCATTGAAAAAAGTCGTAATTTCCTGTGCGCATTTTCGTGTAATATCCAATTTTCATTCTCATCCTGAGCAAAAAAATGTCGGTCGATGTCGACGTCCGGGTAGAGACGAGGAACTTCTGACCACATTGACTCGAACACGCTCCTGCTCAGCCAGGTAATGTGGGGCATTTGCAGAGAATCCTGCCTCAAAAAAAACTTTTGTTGAGAACGTCGTGTATGATGGAATGGGGAGTAGAGATCGTTTTCTCCATTTCATCATCCACCTCATCATCATCCACCTCAAATTTGGAGGAGGATTGCTCTGACGGGAGACCAGAACAGTATCGTTACTTGAGGAAAATGGATATCTGTTCCGGACCTTCGCCGGACAAATCTCTTCTCAGAGGAAGCGATCGTGCCATTTCTGGTGGGCGACAAGAGAGGGTGCATCCAAGCCTGGGTGTCGTTCCGTAATGGTAAAGCAGAAGGCTGAGTTAATAACGCCGATCACACATCGTTCGGTCGATGATTATTTACTTCCAACGACTACGCCAAATAGCGATCTACTGCAGTATTGATCTATCAACAATGTCCTTTCCCTGCTATCTAATTTACAGCACTGCTTTAGCGCGTTCGAGATCAAAATGTTCCAACAAATGAGAGGCATACTTTTCTTAGAATGTCCCGGACCCTCTGGTAGTTGATATAGTCACTGAGTGCCAGCTAAGTGCTAGAAAATTTTCGTAACTGTCTCAGCTCAACAAAGCAGGCCTATCACACAATTTGAGGTTTTGCTGCTTATATTCCAATTTACATGACGTGGCCATTTTTGATCATTTTTGAATCAGAGTGAAATTACCACTCAGCATGCTTCCTTAACTCAGGGCAGTGTCACCACTTTCCAGAAGGCCATAAAAAGCAAGCATAATGTCGATGGCTGTGTACGAGGATGACTGTAAATTTTACAAGTTGTCGTTAATCTCGTTAACGATCCTGCTATTTAGATATTAACCATCATCTTACATAAAAAAGAATATGGTAAGCACACTCATTTTCCAGATAAAGTCGGTCAGGTAGTGAAACTTGCTTCGAATGTGCAACGTCTGTTTTTTCATCCGCTATTGTGCAGAAATGTGGTGGCGCTCGAAGGCAGATTAATGTATTGACTGGTAAAATTTGCCAGTGTTCCGTCTATACTATCAATGTAATAAGCTACCAATTAAGAGCTACAGAAGAAGAAAAGCTCGAATGCCCCAGAGAGGATTAAAGTGGAAATTTCAACATCAATCAAAGCAAGCGATACGACCCCTTTGCATATTCTCAAGTTGGGATTACTAAGCCTATCTGTGTGTATGTAAATGCACGAAAGCACAATCCTCCCCCAACATTACTAATAACCATTTGATTAAAAACACGTACCCCTTTTCCGCACTCCATGTCATCGTCCAATTCGATAACATTACTACCATTGTCTTCGCACAATTTGACAAACACTTCGTCTTCCTCGTCAACACCATCGTCATCTACAAATATATGAAGAGATATCTGATTTCAAACAACTCTATAATTTTCCCAATCGAAACGCTTCGCCATAGATAGCAATTCTTTCCCTTAACCCATTGACGACAATCATGTTTGGCGGGAAAAGCAGACTGCAGCCCACATGTGGACTGCATGGTCCAGGACGACTTATTTGAACTTTGAATTCGGAATCGCTTATTTTTAACTGAATTCACAAACCTAGGATATGGCTAACGATGATGGTAGGCGAAACTCGGACTTTAGTAAGCTACTGATGGATTGTGATGAGGAGCGAGTTCGTCACTCACCAATTCTTCTCATAAGAAGAATTCATTAACTCGTTTAGCGTGAAGAATCAGCACCAGTCCGTTTCTCGTGATTATCGTCTACGTCATATCTGAGCTGATCTTTCTACAGGGTTGTTGAATCTGACCAGCATTCGTACCAGCTGTTCGATATTCGGTGGTAAATGCAGGTAAACGCAGGAAGTCTTCTGAGCAGAGATCTCGTAAACAGCGCCTGTCATTTTTCACTTTCATGTTTTCCCAATCCAGATGACGCATGATGTCTCCCGAGCGACCTGGAAATCCGAGAAGTACAGCTCTGCCGAACTCCTTTCCCAAAGTCGACATTGGCATCCCTTGTGAAATGACGAGTTCCTTGCGTTGAAGTTGCTTGACAGTTCACACGATGTCCTACTTGGTAAATTGCTAAGTGCTCGTGTATCTTTGTGTGTGTGTCCGTGTGTGTAGCTGTGTGTTCAAGCAAGAATTCATAACCCCTGTTGGCGAGATCTGGAACGTTCAAATTCGGAAGTGATACAGATAGGCAGATGGGAACCCTGATAGCAGGCGACAGAAAATGATAAGGATTGACAGAAGCAGATAAGCATCCTTAGAAAGCAACAGCCACAGAGCCCGTTGCGTCCTCCGTGTTACCAGTGGAGCCTCGGCATTTTGGTCAGTGGTGTGGAATGTGAATGGATGCAAATAATTGGAAGTGATAACAAGCAATTAGGGCTGGCGAACAACCATAGAATACGTGGGCCATTAGGTTTTCAATGCCCATTGTGCTAACAGTGGAACATTAGCACTTAAACAGGTGATTAGGCGTATGTCTGAAACAATGCAACCTTAACATTTGTTGCGAAGACGGTCGGTGAAAGAGAGTGATGACAACCGATAAGGCTGAACCTTAGAACGGAGAGCCTTCGTGATAGCTCACCAACAAAGGAACTTTAACAGTGATGAGACAGCATGTGATGTGGAGTATGGTAGGATTGTAATGGGTTGTCCGAAAAGTTTCCGCCGATTTTGAACACCCTCGGTTCGTCAAGTATTGTACAA